TATATATATATATATATATATATATATATATATATATATATATATATATATATATATATATATATATATATATATATATGTATATTTATTTTTATTTATTTCTTTTTTTTATTACCTAAAAATTGTTTAGGTCACAACTGCTGCTATTAATTATGACCTAAACAATTTTTAGGTCACAATAATGTTTAGGTTATATACCGGGCTTGACATTAACACCCGCCGACCCGTCAAATGTTGGTAGATTTTAGCTGTGGCAGGTTAGACAGACACTCCCACAAGCCACTTTAGCTGGTTGAAAATTAAACCAATTGTGTAATTATTAATAGTAATAATACCTGCCTATAATTAATACATTGTGTTAATTAGTAGTTATAAAATATGATCTTATTTGCATTCAAAATCCCAATGCCTAAACCCAGCTACTCTCTTAATAACTATTAATAAACAAGTAATTAATAGTTTATTTAAGCTAGTACTGTCAGTTAATGGTTTGTTAATATCATGAATTCTGACCTAAACTGAAGTGTTACCAAAAACTAATTTAAAAAACACGGTCACACTTTATTTTAATCTATTTAATTAATTTATGTTAATAGCAAACCATAAACTTTGACGTTAAGCTCAATAAATTATTAATTAGCTGTTCATTATTAGTTATTAAGGTTTAGGTATTGGGATTAGCAAAATAAAATAAGATCATACTTCATAAAGACTAATAAACAGTTCATATCTAGGCAGGTAATAAGTCAGTAGTAAATAGCGAGTTTTGTGACAAACTCAAGTGTTACACACAAAAAAAGCATCATTGTAAAGACATTTTCTATTATGAGCATTACTGGAATAACATTTGTTCATAATTATGTAGTTTAATTAGTTTTAGTGGGCACCTTGACATCGAACACATCCAAAAAATAAATCGATTTGATCGTCTCTATATTGATTTGACTAAAATCTAACCAGGGAAGCATTTCTAAAATCAATGAACAACGATCACAAACTTGTGTATATGCAACTACACACTGCAAAAAAAATGTTGTCTTGTTTCTAGTCCAAATATCAAAAGTGAAAACAAATGCTCTTGTGGGAACTCTGTAAACATCAATCTGAGTGTGTGTGTGTGTGTGTGTGTGTGTGTGTGTGTGTGCAGTCTGTGGTGATCGATAACGCTTCAGCAGAGAGAATCCAGAAGCTGCTGCTGGTCGTGACTTTGGTTTCTCATTTTCCGCTGATTCTCGTGGCTCTGGGAGTCATTCTGCTCATCGTAGCCGTCATCCTCGCCGTCCGCTACTACCAGAACAAGGTAACTGCGTTCTCACAAGTCATGCAATTCCTGGAATGTCATGGAATTTTTAAATATCATGCAATTCCTGGAATGTCATAGAATTTCTAGAATATCAAGGCATTTTGGAATATCATGGAATTTCTCAAATATCATGGAATTTCTCAAATATCATGGAATTTCTCAAAATAGATAGTTTCTCTAAAATAGATTTTCTGGAATTTTATGGAATTCCTGGAATATTATGAAATGTCTTGAATATCATGGAATTTTTTGAATATCGTGGAATATGTAGAACATCATATGATTCCTGAAATATCATAGAATTGTAACATTCCTGGAATGTCGTTGAATTTCTGGGATGTCATAGAATTTCTGGAATTTCATGGATTATCTGGAATTTTATGAAATTTGTGGATTATCTTAGAATGCCTGGAACATCATGAAATTCCTGAAATATAGAATTTTTGGAATATGGTGGAATTTCTAGAATATCATGGAAATTCTGGAATATCATGGAATTCCTAAAATATAGAACTTCTGGAATACCGTGAAATGTCTTGGATATCAGGAGTTTTTTTAAATCATGGGATCTTAAAACATCATGAAATTGCTAAAATATAGAATTTATGGATTTTTGTGGACTTCCAGGAATATCATGGAATTTCTGGAATATCAAGGATTCTTTAGAATACTGTGGAATTCCTGGAGTTTCGTGGAATTTCTGGGATATCATGGAATTTGTAGAATATCATAGATTTCCTGGAATTTTATGGAATTCCTGAAATATCATGGAATGTCTTGAATATCATGGAGTTTTTTGAATATCATGGAATTTGTAGAACATGGAATTCCTGAAATATCATAGAATTTCTAAAATGTTTATGGAATTCCAGGAATATCATGACATTTCTCAAATATCATGGTTTCTTTAAAATATTATGGAATTCCTGGAGTTTCGTGGAATCATTAGAATATCATGCAATAGCTGGAATATTATGAAATTTCTGGGATATCTTAGAATTTTCGGAGTTTCATTGAATACCTGGAATTTTATGGAATTTCTGGAATTTCATAGAAGTTCTGGAATGTCATGGAATTCCTGAAGTGTCAAGGAATTTTGGAATATTATAGAATTGCTGGAATTTTATAAAAATCCTGGAATATATAATTTCTGAAATAGCATGGATTTTTTTTTTAATTATCAAACTTTTTAGAACATCATGACATTTCTGCAATATCACACATTATTTAGAATATTCTGGAATTCCTGGATTTTCATGGAATGTTTAGAATATCATGGAATTCCTAGAATATCATGCGATTCATCCATGGAATTTCTGGAATGTCATGGAATTTCTGGAAAATCACCTCTTTAGAATATCATATATATATATATATATATATATATATATATATATATATATATATATATATATATATATATATATATATATATATATATATATA